AATAATTATATATAATAAAATATATATTCTATATTATATTACATGTAATATATCATAAATAGAAAATAAATAATAAAATATAATAAAAATAAAAATAACAGCAAATAACCCTTCACGAGTATAGGAATTAGGACTTCAATGGTTGTCCTTTGGTGGACAAGCTGCAGTCCATAACAGGATGCAGCCAGAAAGTTTCTCAGCTCAGCTAAGAGGTGAGAGGGAGAAGGAGGCAGGGGGCCCCTCCACCCCATCCCACAGCCAAGCCCGAGGGCAGCCTCCTCTCACCCAAGCTTTCTCTCCTAGGGGTCTACTCCAAGCCCACGCTCTCAGCTTGGCCCAGCACGGCGGTGTCCACCGGGCAGGATGTGACCCTGCAGTGTCAGGACCCTTACGGCCACCACCACTTCGCTCTGTACAAGGAGGGGGACTCGGGGTCCACCCGGAGCTCTGATGTGTGGTACCGGGCCAGCTTCCCCATCATCACAGTCACAACCGCCCACAGTGGCACCTACCGCTGTTACAGCTTCTCCGGCGACAGGCCCTATCTGTGGTCACACCCCAGCGATCCCCTGCAGCTCGTGGTCACAGGTGAGAGGGATGCCAGCCAACTCTTCCTCCTTGACCTTCTCAAGGCCTGGTGGGGGTTCCCAAGGGGAGGTGCCTACAGACAGGCGGGGAAACTGAGGGCAGGGGAAGCTTCAGAGAAGGTGTTTGGGTCTCCAGGTGGTGAAGACAGTGGCTTGACCAGCAGCAGCAAGTCTGGCGGTTTGAGCCCACCCAGAGGGGCCTTGGGGACAGGGGTGGTGATTTGCTTCTGAAATGCCACAGCCGTGAACCTCGGGCGTCACAGGTCTGCCCTGTGTACCTGGTGTCACCAGGACTTGGACGTCACCAGGAATCTAATGATGATAATATTACCGCTTGTCACAAGTCCTGCGAGGTCAGGGGCTGGAAACAGAATGCACGGACCCTCCTTCAGCTTGGAGGTCACATGACTGACAAAGGAGTCTCACAAATGCCACCAAAGCCCTTTGGCACTGCACTGATGATCTCTACCCACCGAGACGCCCCAGGACAGTATACAAGTGCTCCGCACCCCCCCCCAGAAGGTCACATCCAAGGCTGCAATATTGGAGGGGAGCAAACTGTCACAGCCTTCTCCTTGGGAGGGGCTGGTGGATTTGAACAGATGATATTTCCGTTAGCAGCTGAAAGCTTAACCACGGTGCCACCAGATCTCCTCCACACGAGCTTTTCTGGGCAAAGCTCAAGGTGTTGGCAGACTGTGCTTCTTCTGCAGTTGGTGGGGGAGTGCCTTCCTTGCCTTTTCCGAGTCCTAGGGGCCCCCACTGCCCCTGGCCCATCGCACTGCCTCCCGCCTTGGAGACCAGGGTGCATCCTCTGATTTCTGACTCTGCTAGGCCTGTCTCCATCTTCCGAGGACCCTGATTGCCTCCAACCCACCTGGATAATCCAGGTTATCCTTTCCTGCATGGCAGCTCTTAACCGAATTGCATCTTGCAAGTTTTCCCTTTGTGATATGTTGTTACGGGCTGTTGGGTTGATTTCAACTCATGGTGACTGTACAGGACAGAGCAGAAGCGTCCCTCAGGGCTTCCCAGCCTGCAGACCTTGAGGGAGGTCCTCTCCCATGGACTTGGCGTGACTTTGAACCGCCAACCTAGCAGTTAGCATTTCAGTGCTTTAACCAGCAGCCACCAGGGCTATCTTTACCTTTAAATGTACCATGTTCAGGGACACTGGTGACTGTCGAGTCAGAACTGACGCATAGCTCACACTCCAGCAGGTTTTCAGAGGCAGGAAATTACATGGCAGGAGTGTGACAATCTTTCTCCTATAGAGCACCTGGTGGGTTTGAACTGAAAACCTTTGCATTGGTAGGACAATGCCTTCCTGCTAAGTCACCATCTGTTGCAGACCAAGGGTCCCAAAGAATGGAATAATTTTATAATTATTAATAAAGAGACAAACAGCCAGGAATGTGATAGAGCAGAGAGCATAAACCAGGGTGCCAGCAGTTCTCGACTAAAGACCCCAAGCCAAGCTTCTCTGTGTCTTTATTGAAAATTATCAGGAAGTAAATCACAAAGAGAATTCAATGCAAATGAAGCCAAGCTCTTTCTATAGAAAACCTTCTGCTTGACTCAGGAAGGAGGGGTTCACAAATGCAAGAATTTGGGTTACCCTGAACTATTAACCTTGATGCCTCAGGGTGAACTCTAGCTCAGGAAGTTAACCTCTCTCTGTAGGGGGCCCCTTGCTGTCTCCTGTCTGCAGGGAACAAACAGCTCATTTTCTAGGATCTGCCACAAGAGAAATCCTACCTTATAAATCTGTAATTCCTTCAATTCCTGAACAAGGGTTTTCATATAATGTTTGGTATAGAGTTTGGCTTTCCATAAACATCTATAGGAGAACTTTTTTCTTTCTACCGTAGGGCATATAGACTAAGGAAAAAGAATTCTTTTTTATTTATTTTTTTAATTATTTTTGTGTGTGTGTACCGTCAAATCAGATCTGACTGGTACAGGAGGAGATTGTCCCTCCTTCCCCGGCAGAGCATGTGGTGGATTTGAACTGTGCGCCTCTGGAATTGTAGTTGCAGCTCCTTGCCACTAGGCCACCAGAGCTCCCCGGAAAAAGAATTCTTAACAGGCTGAACAAAGCTTGTGTCTTGTCAAAGTTTCACAAATATTCAAGAGATTGATATTAACATACACAGTGACATGTTAATATGTTACATAATTATATCTAATATATATATTATAAGATATGTTGTTGTTGATTGCTGTCGAGGGCGAGTCATAGTGACTCTATGAACAAAAGACCCGATGCCTTTCAGTAACTATCGTCATTTCTCCAAGTTCATAGAGTTTCTAGAGGCATGTGGTTTAGGAAGTGGATGCCGCTCCTGCTTCTGAACCTGTTTTACAACTGGGAGCTCCACCACACACGGTCCACATTGGGAAACCATTCTGGCATTTGATACCCCAATGGCACAAGGTTCAGCATCACAGCAAACCCAGGTTACTTCATACAGCACATTGACAAAGAGTGATGTACAGAGTGGAAGAGTGTTCCTCCAGATATATCAGCACTGGTTTCACTTAGCAGTGGTTAAGTGTCGTCAAGTCGAATCTGAGAGTAAGCTTTGCATAAGTGACTTGGACTCTATTCTATAACTAACATAATTTCTGTACATTTACAATAGATAATACATAATTATAATGAATATGTATTATATAATAATACACTATAAGAAAGATTTCTATTAAATATTAATATCTATACATGTTTATATGTAATAGTAATATTTAATAGCAAATGTCATATTTAAAAGTATTATTAATATTAATGTTGTTGTTGTTGTTGTTGTTAAGTGCCGTCGAGTCGCAGGCGACTCATAGCGACCCTATGAAGGAGAGTCCTCGACGCTTCGGTGCCTTTCATCCTCTCTCCAGGTTCGTAGGGTTTCCGGAGGCAAGCTGCTTTGGAAGTGGATGCCACTCCTCCTTCCACAATATTAATGTTACATAGTAATATTACACATTAATATAAATATTAATATACACAGTGACAACCGTAGCAATAATAAAATATGCAGAAACTAAAAAAAATAAGATCCTACTATTGTGGAAAGAAAATCATGAAATGATTCTCCTTTACTATTGATAACATTCAGATTGAAAAATAAAAATTATTGTACTTCGAGTTAAAGTTTACAAATTGGTTTTCCATTTTATCCTTCACATACAGATTTTGTTTCACAACACTAATTACAGTCCCTCTGCTGTAACAGCACCTGTCCCACTTCTTCCTTAAGATTATTTTTTAAATATTTTTTATTAATTTTAATAAAAGTACTGAAGAGCAATGGTGTCTCTCTGGAGACTAAGGTGCATTTGATACAGGCCATGGTCTTCGCAATCGCTTGTTAAGCATCAGAGAGTTGGACAATGACCAAGGAGGATAGAAGGAGAATTGATGCCTTTGAGCTGTGGTGCTGGAGAAGAGTATTGAATGTACCATGGACTGCTAGGAAAACAGATTCATCCTGGCAAGGGTTAAACTGGGTGGCTCCTTGGAGGCAAGGATTCTGAGGCTCTATCTAACATACTTTGGACATGTTGTGAGGAGAGACCGGTCCTTGGAGAAGGACATCATGCTTGGGAGGGTGGAGGGACAGCGCAGGAGGGGAAGGCCCTCTATGAGGTGGATTGATTCAGTGACTGGGATAATTGGGATGGGTGTGTCAGAGGCAGTGCGATTGGCACAGGACAGAGCAGAGTTTAGGGCTGTTGTACATAGGGTCACTATGAGTCGCAAGTGACTCGATGGCACATAACAACAACAACAACAATGAAAATTTACAGAGACTTTGGATTTCCATTCATTCATTGTTGCACTTTTCTCCCTGCCCTCCTCTCCCCTTTCCTTAAGATTCTTGTTCTCACTCATCCTCCTGTCCTTTTCCTTCCTGACTTTCAGCTTTCTTCCTGGGAAGATGCTACCCTTTTGATCTTATATATTAAGCCTTTCTTATTTTTAACAAGTTAACTACAGGGTTTCTATGTGAAAAATCTTGCTGCAAGTGTTTTATATCAAGAGTTAACATTTTAAAACTATCATTGGTTGCTGCTATGAGCCAATCATTTTTTCCCCCTTAAATTGTGACTTGAATGAAAGTTTACAAAGCAAATTTGTTTCTCTTTCAGGCATCTGTACATATTTTGTTTTGTAACATTAAACACAATAGTCACAAGGTGGTGACATGCATCCCACGGCCTCTCTGTGGTTCTCATGTCCATGAACACTTTGATCTTAGCCCCTTCCTGTGTTCTAGGCTGTCTGTCTTCTTGGGCAATTGGTGCTCTCTCAACCTTCTATAGCTGCTTAGTCAAAGGAGCAAGTGCCTTCCTGGAGTTCTTGTTCTCACTCACAGTGTTGTCTGTTGTTTATCTTAAATCTGAGCCAAAGAAATGAGCTTTGTTCCAGGTTCACAGGATGACAAAAGGGTCACGCTCTCTAGGGTTTCGCTAGTTCCTATCAGACAGCAAGGCTGCGATTTTCTATGTGTTTGAGCTTTGTTTCCCATCTCCTCTTCATGTGTCCAGGGTTTTCTGCGATGATTCCTTTTACAGTGGCAAGCAGTGGTAGTCGGGCACCATCCACTTTCTTCTGATTTCAGGGTCCTAGAAACTGAGGTTCACACGGTCCATGAATCCTTTGGATTCATTAGTTTAGTCCAAATCTTTTCTTTCTTCCCTTTTCTTTGTTTTGGAGAGGGAGAGGCTAATAGTTGCATCTTAGATGGCTGTGTGCAAGCTTTTAAGCCCTCAGTCACTAGCTACCAAAATATGATGTAGAACACTGTCTCTGTGGAGTAACCTGATGCCGCTTGATCTTGTCGTCCCCCCAAGACTGTGGTCCCAAGGCCCTGGAATCTACAGATTCTACAGATCATTCCCTACAGATTTTTGTTATGCTTAGGAAGTTTACTTAGCTTGGTCCCTTGCATGTCAACTATAGTTGTATGATTTCTATACTTTCACTAGTATTAGGAGCAACGAGATTATTCAAGAGATCTCCATTTAGAGATTAGTCATTTATCTAGCAAGGTGAAAAATTCTCATCCTCTTAACCATCAGTGAATTAGAAAGAACTACAGAAGAAAACAATGCATTGAATTCAAATTTATCTAGAAAGGTCATTACTGACTAAAAGTTGAGCTCTGTTCTCCTGTTGTCATTGAAAACTAACTTTATCAAGATATAATTAATATATCTCAAAGTCCACCCCCTCCTAGGATTTAACACAATGCTTTTAAGGAAGGTTGAAGATTTGTACAGTCATCACCACAGCCCAATTTTAGCACATATCTGTTAACCCAAAAAGATCTCATGTCCCTTTGCAGTAACTGTCTGTTCCTGCCTCCAATTCCAGACAATGGCTGATCTATTTCTTTTCTTTTTCTATAGGTTAGCCTCATAGAAAGAAGTAAAACGATATTTGGACTACTGAATTAGGCTTCTTTTACTCAGCATCATACTTTTGAAGTTTTTTTCATGTTGTAGCGTGTCTTCCACATTTTTTTATAAATTATTTTTTAAAAATCTTTGTGGTTTTCCCTATTCTCACTGTGTTTTATAAGATCAGTGATCCCCAGCGATCTATGCCCACTAATTCCCCATCTTTTCTGATTCCCACTGAATCTTTCCCAATTCCTTCACCCCCCCCCCCCCCCACCACACTCTGCAATCTTATTTATTTGCCTCCTTCCCAACCTCCTCTATCTTGGTCCTTTCCCTTCCATCTTTGGATATCCATACACTTCTTTATGGGAAGCCAAATTTCATACTAAATATTTTAATTAACAGAATGCTGCTTCAGGTTATGAGGGAGACTGGTACCAGCTGGATTTAATCCTGAAGCAGTAAGGTAATCCTTAAATGTTTACAGGGGTGGACACTAAGGCAATCCTTAAGCATTTACAGAATTCTTTCATTGTATTTACTAACCCCTCCCTCCTGAGTCAAGCATAAGGTTTTCAATAGAAAGAGCTCAGCTTCACCTGCATTGGATTCTCTTTGTGATTTGTTCCCCGGCAATTTTCAATAAAGACGGGGAAGCCGGAATCGGCGAGTCAGCTTGCTTCAGTTTTTCGGGAACTGTCTGTCTCCTGCTTTACTTCTGCTTCTCTACATTTTTGTGGTTCTGTCTCATTACTAATACTTATAAAAAGACTTTACCCTCGGTCTGCAAAACTTCTGACTCGTTACCTTTCTATTTTTACAATAATGGTCTCATTCAGTATTTGTCCTTATGCAACGGAGTTAGTTCACTTAGCTCTCCAGCCTCTCTCATGTTATATACTATTTTTATAAATCATTGCTCCCAAGTGCTGCATAATATTCCACCATGTGAATGTACCACAATTTCTCAATCCATTTGTTTATAGATGGACATTTGGGCAATTTCCATGTTTTCGCTAGTGCCAATGATGCTTCTATGCCCATCAGCATATATCTTCATTGTTTTTAGTCTTGCACATTACTCTTTTTTTAAAAAAATTCTCTGTGTGTGTGTGTGTGTGTGTGTGTGTGTGTGTGTATGTGTGTGTGTGTACCGTAAAATCGAATCTGACTGGTACAGGAGGAGATTGCCCCTCCTTCCTCGGCAGAGCACCTGGTAGATTCAAACCGCGTACCTCAGGGATTGCAGTGCAGCTTCTTGCCACTAGGCCACCAGAGCTCCCCATACATTTCTCTTTTGTGTGTATATACATACCACACTTTCATGATCTTTTCATCCACTGATGGATATTTGGATTGCTATGATCTCTTTGTTATCATAAATAATGCTGCAGGAGACATAGGTGGACATATTTCTGTTCGTGTTACAGCTCTTATTTCTTTCATATCTGTTTATCGATTTTTAACTCAAACGGGATTTTTACTGACAACTTTTTAAGTCTGGAAAAAACTGCTTTCTGTAGTGGTAGGGCGGAGGTCAGCAGATCTGCACAGCTGTGAAGTCAGCAGATCTGCACAGCTGTGAAGTCTGAGGGTGGACAGAGGTGAAGAGAGAAGCGATCGCTCTTTCTTCCTGTGATTCTCTCACAGGGGATATCTGCCCTGCTCCACCACTCATTTCATGGTTCCCTTTTCCTCATTGATTCCGAGCAGATAAGGAGCTGGTCCCCTCACACTCTTGCCCCCCAGGGCCAAATTGATAATATTGTTGTTGTTATGTGCCGTCAAGTCGCTTGCGACTCATAGCGACCCTATGTATAACAGCCCTAAACTCCGCTCTGTCCTGTGCCAGTCGCACTGTCTCTGACACTCCCATCCCGATTATCCCAGTCACTGAATCAATCCACCTCATAGAGGGCCTTCCCCTCCTGCGCTGTCCCTCCACCCTCCCAAGCATGATGTCCTTCTCCAAGGACTGGTCTCTCCTCACAACATGTCCAAAGTATGTTAGATGGAGCCTCAGAATCCTTGCCTCCAAGGAGCAGCCAGGTTTAACCCTTTCCAGGACAAATCTGTTTGTTTTCCTAGCAGTCCATGGTATTCTCAATACTCTTCTCCAGCACCACAGCTCAAAGGCATCAATTCTCCTTCTATCCTCCTTAGTCATTGTCCAACTCTCTGATGCATAACGAGTGATTGTGAAGACCATGGCCTGTATCAGACGCACCTTAGTCTCCAGAGAGACACCACTGCTCTTCAGTACTTTGGAGAGGTCCCTAACAGCAGACTTCCCCATGGTAATACGCCTTTTAATTTCCTGGCTACTGGTTAGTGTGTGTTGACCGTGGAGCCAAGCAAACTAAAGCTGTGAACAATCTCAATCTCTTCACCATCCATCCTGATGCTGCCAATTTAAAACTCAGAAGGACCTGAAGCACCTGCTGCAGAGGGTCAAGGACTGCAGCCTCCAATATGGATTGAGGCTCAATGTCAAGAAGAAGAACTGATAATATAGTTAAAAAAAAGTCAGAACTAAGATTGGAAAAGGAGAGAGAACAATTGAACTCATCATTGCTAATTAGCATCAGAACAATGACAAGATGGGGAGAAGGGGAGATGTGTGGTGTTGGATTGATATTTAAATAGTCACAATAACACAGCGGTGATAGCTTCTTTATCCTTAACTGCTCAGGGAGGCAACTGGGTTGTAGATATTTTTTATGATTTGCTCAGAACTTATGTACAAAAGCACAGAATTCTCTCCTTTGATGATTTTGCAGGAACATCTGTGACCCCGAGTTTGTCACCCACAGAACCACCTTCTTCTGTACCAGGTAAGCTGTGTCCTCCTGCGTTTGGGAGAATAAAGCATGTTAACTATCTTCCTCTCTGTCTAAATCTCCCAGTTTAGTTCACGCCAATCTGTCAACATATTTGCTTCATTTTAAAAATTGTTTATATCATCTCTAAAGTACTCAAGAGCAACGGTGTCTCTCTGGAGACTAAGGTCTGCCTGATACAGGCCATGGTTTTTGCAATCACTTGTTATGCATCAGAGAGTTGGACAATGACTAGGGAGGATAGAAGGAGAATTGACGCCTTTGAGCTGTGGTGCTGGAGAAGAGTATTGAATGTACCATGGACTTCCAAGAAAACAAACAGATTCAACCTAGAGAGGGTTAAACCAGGCTATTCCTTGGAGGCAAGGATTCTGGGGCTTCGTCTGACATACTTTGGACATGTTGTAAGGAGAGACAGGTCCTTGGAGAGGGACATCATGCTGGGTAGAGTAGAGGGACAGCGCAGGAGGGGAAGACCTTCTGTGAGGTGGATTGATTCAGTGACTGGGATAATCGGGATGGGTGTGTCAGAGGCAATGCGATTGGCACAGGACAGAGCAGGGTTTAGGGCTGTTGTACACATAGGGCTGCTATGAGTTGCAAACGACTTGACAGCACATAACAACAACAACAACAACAACAAAAATGATGATAATAATAATAATAATAATAATAATAATAATAATAATAATAATAAATCAATTGCTGTCAGGTGGATTCTGACTTATAGCGAGCCTGGCCTACTGGTCAAAAGCTGCGCTGCAATCTCAAAGGTATGTGGTTCAAACCCACTAGACTCTCTGTAGGAGAAATATGGTCAATCTCTCCTCCCATGTGATTTAAAAACCAACTTGAGGGGCAGCTCCGTGTCAGTTCCATTTCAACGACAGACAACGTGTTGTTGTGATTTTGTACCATGGAGTCAGGGCCCACCCCTAGCTGACCCTCCAGCAGGTTTTCAGAGGCTGTTTATCGTATGAGAGGAGATTGTCCAGCCGTCTCTGTCCTGAGGAGGAGCTGGTGGCCTTGAACCACGTGCCTTTGGGATTGCAGGACAGCTTCTTGCTACTAGGCCATCAGAGCTCCCTCAACATACAACAACAACATAGGATGGAGCAGAATGACGTCACAGGCTTTCCAAGCGTTTAGTCCTTAGGGGAGAAAGGCATCATTACGTCCTTGCTCCCTGAACAACTGGTGGTTTTGAACTGCCAACTTTTCAGTTAGCAGGTGATTGCTTTCTTAACCACTGGGCCACCTGGGATCATTAGAAAAAGAAACAGATACTAACACGTGGTGAGTCCCTTAGCCTTTGTAGCTTGCTGTAGGTGAGCGACATCTCAAGTCTAGATTAAGTTGCACAGATTCTGAAATCCCAGATTGTCTGAGGTTCCGAGCCTGGGGTGACGCTGGAACCTATAACTCTCGTGTTTCCCATACTAACAGGGTTACCCATGGTAGAGTTTACAGTGGGGCTGAAACTAAGAAGAAGGCTGAATATTCACCTCTAATATAATAAGTCCTTGAAAAAAAACCTATGAAGAGAAGTGGAACATTGTCAAATGCAATGCTAGGAGATAAGGTCCCGTAGGTGGGAAAAGACTCAATATGACTGGGCTCATCCACCATAAAGGAAGGTCTATTTCAGTGGGAGAGATTGTGAGTAAAAGCTTTAGTCTGTTGTAGACAGTGTCATTCGTTGCCGGTCAGAGCTCACACAGTGGGACTTAAGGACAGCCACAAACCCCTGCAGGGATTCCATCCACTCTAGATGGGTTATTAGTCGGTAATTCGATCCCCTTGGTGGGCCACGAGTTCCTGATTTGGTAGTCCCACTCATCGAGGGGGTACCACAAGACTGGCTAAAAAGGTCATATAAAAACCAACCTGTCTGTACACCTATCTTTGTCATGGCTTTGTTTGCAATAGCAAATAGCTGGAAACAACCCAAGTGCCCATCAACAAACGAATGGATAGAGAAGCTGTGGTATAGTCACACAGTGGAATACTATGCTGCACTGAAAAACAAGGAACTCATGAAATATTATGCAAAGTGGATGACCCTGAGGAGATTATGCTGAGTGAAATATCTCAGTCACAAAGGACAAATATTGCATAGGGCCACTGACAATGGGACTGATATTGGGGTTGAGAGAAGACAGAGAAGGAGGGGAGGAATGATATATACTGCATTGAAACAGATGAGAGAGAGAACTATTTAAAAGGGATATGTGATTAGGTATTATTGTCATGACAGGAGTCCAGAACGAAGGCTGCATAGTGGAGTGGACTTGGGAGGAGGGATTGTATAACAATGAAAGAATTTTTCTTTTACTTTTCAAGGAGAACAGTGAATTGGGGGGTGGTGGAGGGTCAGGGGAAAAGTGCAACAATGAATGACTAGAAACTAAGTCTCTGTAAACTTTCATTAATAAACCCCCCTCAACCTATCACACTAGATAGCAAACCCAGATTACCTCATATATCGTGTCTCTAGTAGCCAAAAAATGGCTTAATCTCAAATGTTCACCAACTCATGAGTAGAGATTCACGTTTAGTGAGTCACGGGCAGAAGTTCTAGGCCATGGTTTGCATTTGCTTGGGTCTGTGCAATGTGTCTGAAAATGGTAACAGTCCATAGACTACAACGATATCCTAAGAGACATGAGACAGATTTGGAAATGACCACACTACTTACAATATTCTTAATTATCAGAAAGCTCCAGTAAACTGATCGTCTCACCTAAGAGGAAGGAATACACAACTGGTGAGTAATCCTGCCACGAAAGTCTGCAACATGGAACGTGTGTTGGCTGGCTCTCACTGAGTCTTCTGCGTCTTCCCGTGGAAGTCCTTGGCTTGGGCATAGGGAATGCAGTGGAGGCATGTTCCGTGTTGCAGACCGAGGGTCCCAAAGAATGGAATAATTTTATAATTATTAATAATGAGACAAACAGCCAGGAATGAGATAGAGCAGAGAGCATAAAACAGGGGGTCAGCAGTCCTCGAATGAAGCCCCCAAGCCAAGCTTCTGTGTCTTTATTGAAAATTATCAGGAAGTAAATCACAAAGAGAAGTCAATGCAAATGAAGCCAAGCTCTTTCTATTGAAAACCTTCTGCTTGACTCAGGAAGGAGGGGTTCACAAATGTTAAGAATTTGGTTTACCCTTAACTATTAACCTTGATGCCTCAGGGTGAACTCCAGCTCAGGAAGTTAACCTCTCTCAGCAGGGGCCCCCTAGCTGTCTCCTGTCTGCAGGGAACAAACAGCTCATTTTCTGGGATCTGCCACAAGAGAAATCCTAACTTGTAAATCTGTAATTCCTTCAATTGCTGAACAAGGGTTTTCATATAATATTTGGTATAAAGTATGGCTTCCCATACAATAGAGGCAAGTTCTGAAGTTGGAGACATTTACCAACGTACATATTTTAATAAGAAAAATGGGAAGACTGGCTCAGAGAGATTGAGCCAATTGCCAGAGGCCTTATGCCTAACCAAGGGTGGATTTGGAGTCCAAATCGCAACATCGCGAGTGTACATCCCATCTTCTACCGTGCTGTGGGATTATGCCTCTGAGTATATTTGGAGCGGGGCCCGGGGTAGCAGACAGGGTGCCATTCCTTTGCATTTCCCCGTTCTGATTCCCAGGGACCTCTAGGAGCGTCACTACCCTTCCAGGAGGGTCAAATTCTCCAACCGGTAAGTGCTCATACTACAAGGACTCCCTTTCACCTGTCTCTTCACCTGAAGCTAGTAACACCTTTCTATAGAAAGGAAAAATGGCTTAGGGGTTTTGGTTGGAAAGGCATTAAGGAAAAGGGGGAATGTGAATCTTAAAGCGACTGAGAAACGCCTTTGGAAAGGATGGACTGTTTTAAAAAGTAAAAAGCATCTGTGGTATATTCACATAATGGAATACTACGCTGCACTGAAAAACAAGGAAGTCATGAAATGTTATACAAAATGGGTGACCCCGGAGGACACTATGCCCAGTGAAATATCTCAGTCACAAAAGGACAAAAATGCATGCACCAGTGCCACTGTTGTAAAACGGGACTGACATTGGGGTTGGGGGGAGACTGAGAAAGATGTGATGATATATTATGTCTACTGCATTGAAACAGGTGAGGGAGAGAACTGTTTTAAAGGGATCTATGATTAAGGTATTATGGTCATGACAAGAGTCCAGAACGAAGGCTGCATAGTGGAGTGGACCTGGTGGAGGGATTGTATCACAATGAAAGAATTTTTGACTTTTCAAAGAGAAGAGTAAACTGGGGGTGGGAAGGCGGTTGGGCAGGGAGGAAAGTGCAACAATGAATGAATGGAAATCCAAACTCTCGGTACACTTTCATTGAGAAAAAAAAAGAAGAGAAATTCCCACTTGTGGCTCTGTGTGAAGAGGCTTTTCCTGCATAACGAACTAGACAGTCAGTCTATCAGCCACCAGCGAGAGGTGTGTGAGAGCAGTAATACTCTGAATTGGGCTGAGCCCCAACCCTTGAGAGGGAGTGGGGGGAGAGAGGATACCCTAGCACACCATCATCTCACAGGTGACAAGGCTCGAGGGGCTGGACGGAGGAGGGCAGGAGAGCTTCTCTGACTGCTCCTGTCTGTCGCCTGTCTAGGTCTCGCCCTCCAGAACTACACCAAGAGCAACGTGATCCGGATAGCCCTCGGGGCCGCGATCCTTCTCTTCTTGGTGGGGATCCTGGCGGAAGATTGGCACAGCCGGCAGACACTCCTGACCTACAGGGCCAGAGCCATCCAAAGGCCACTCCCACCACTGCCACAGACCCTGAAACCCCACGTCGGCCTGGTCAAGGGGCAGCCGTATGGCTACAGTCCCGAGTGCCGCCATCAGGACCCCATCTAAGGGACGTGCAGGCCGGGAAAGAACTGTGCGTGGAGGAAGGAGGCAGAGACTGCAAATGGACAAATGTCATGTTGCTTCTGGCTCCTAACCTCAATTTTCTCCATTCGGATCCCTTTTTGCTGTTACCTGTACGAGGATCCTCAGATCTGAGTAGGCAACGAGAAAGGATCCGATCTCTGACGCACACCTTTCCTCATTTGAAACCGTATTGTGTTCTCTGATCCTGTCTGGACAACTGTTTCTTGGTCTGTGAACATGGTTTTGCACCAGCACAATGAAGCATTCTGGGATTTGCATTCTTCTCTACTGTCCGCCATAATCTAACACCTTTGCATAATCAATAAAATACAAATGAACTTCTGGGCTTCTCAGCTTTCAGCCCAGATGCAGCTGATGCCAGCAATGATTTATTTCCCTCACATCACGGCCTCATCTGCAGCCAGCTGGAATTTCTAGCAGTGCTCTGTGGATCTTCCAGTCATTTAAAAGTTATTTTTCATGAAATTAAACTTGCAGATTGCATTTTGGGGCATCAAGAATTGAACAGAGCTCTGAGTCTGATACCTAGCAAGCTGTAGATCTCTCACCAACCTATATCCCATACAGACGGAAGGTTATCAACACCTGTTATGTGCTGTCGAGTCGCTTGCGACTCATAGCAACCCTGTGTACAACAGCCCTAAACTCCGCTGTCCTGTGCCAATCGCATTGCCTGACACACCCATCCCGATTATCCCAGTCATTGAATCAATCCACCTCATAGAAGGCCTTCCCCTCCTGCGCTGTCCCTCCACCCTCCCACGCATGATGTCCTTCTCCAAGGACTGGTCTCTCCTCACAACATGTCCAAAGTATGTTAGACGGAGCCTCAGAATCCTTGCCTCCAAGGAGCCACCTAGGAGTCTAAAATACTGCAGGGTCGGAAAGGGAAACCAAGAATGAAGATGTCAAGAAAAAGGAGAATTGCACCGCAGTTCACAAGGAATATATAGCAGTGTGATCAAACACTTTTGCTGGGCTAAATATTCCGGACACAGTTTATCTTATAATTTGGGAAGAATCCATTAGACACAGCTGTAATTTCTAATGCAATCTTTATTTTTTTTTCCATACTTGCGGTAAACACTTCACACATAACAGGGTTACAGGCCGTGTGCACTTTGCACGTAACCGAGGCAGAACCAAACTCAGGCGGCATCCAACCGCCAACTACGAAGGCTCATGTGCCATCCTCTCTATGCGGTAACGACCTCAGTAGAACATAATGAAGGTATTGATAGTAGGTCTGTAACTTCTGCAGTGATGGTTATCATTTATGATGACCATCTGTGGATGGGCTTCTTGGACTTTTTGGAGCATCTGAAGGATCTGCAAGTCACTATCATCTACAGTTAACCTGGAAGACAAAGCGGGGGAAAGGAGATTCCATTCCAACAGTGACCACCAGCCTCCTCCTTACTCCGTGTCTGCTGGAGACTCAAGAACACAGTCAATGTCTCCAAAAATGTGAAGAGAATGAAAAGCTTAAGAAAGAAGTCATGTATTTTCTCTTCGTAAGTTATGAACTAGAGTTAAAGCCGAAACAAGAACCCTTTCTTGAAAATTATTAGAAGACACTCCTTTGTCCTTCTACCTTGACCTCTGAGCCTGTGCCTTTAAGGGCTTCACCGAGTAGGAGGCTGTCTGGATTATGCCAGAGTCTTAGTTATGTGCTGCTACTTCAGAACCAATTTCTAGATCACCTTCTGGCCGGTTTTCAGAGCCAAGAAATCACGTGGAAGGAGACTGGACAGCTTTTCTGAGGAGCACCCGGTGGGTTTGACCTGCCCTTTAAATAGGCAGCAGGACTCCTTCCCACTGCACCGCCAGGGCGGATGCTAGAGCAAGACCTGTATTTGTTTTCTAGGGAAAAAAATAAACAAAAGTCCAGGCCCCCACCCAACTAGGTTAATGCCACCAAAGCAGAAGGCTACCAAGTGACGTCAGCTGGACAATTATTCCACATTCTCTGAGACTGAAGAAATTCACACGGAATGTAGCTTTAAAGCCCATCTGGTCTATAGTGTATTTGGTAGACTATGCCTGTGGACCATGGAGTCAGGGCCAACCCACAGCTGACCCTCCAGGAAGGTTTTTCAGAGGCAGGTAACTGTACTGGAGAAGGCTCCCTCTCCCGTGCAGCAGCTGATGGATTCAAAGTGTGAGCTTTGGGGACTGCAGTGAGGTTTCTCACTAACAGGTCACAGTGCTCACTGGGTAGACGTGTTATGTGCCGTCGAGTCATCTGCGACTCATAGCGACCCTGTGTACAACAGCCCTAAACTCTGCTCTGTCCTGATCCAATCTTACTGTCTCTGACACTCACCCCTATTACCCTAGTCACTTATTCCACCTCAGAGGGTCTTCCTCTCCTGCGCCATCCCTCCACCCTCCCAATTATGATGTCCAAGGACTGGTCCCTCCTTGCAACATGCCCAAATTATGTCAGAGAAAGCTTCACAATCCTTGCCTCCAGGGAGCAGCCCGGTCTCACCCTCTCCAGGACGAACTTGCTTTTTCTCCTACATGTCCACGGTATATTCAATACTCATCCCCACAGCTCAAAAGGCATTAACGCTCTCATCATCCCTAGTTATTGTCCAGCTCTCTGATGCGTAGCAATTGTTGGCAAAGACCATGGCCTGGATCAGGCACACCTTAGTCTCCAGACTGACACTGTTGCTCTTCAGTACTTTGGAGACGTCTCTGACAAGCTGACTTTCCCCAAGACTCAGACTACCAATTTAATAGATGCAATGTATACTCCTGAAGAGTCAGGAAGGCCCATTCTTTAGACTCCTTCCAAGTATATACTAGGTTTGTCACCATCATTTATTTGGCCTCAGGGGATACCATCCTTAGTTTTCCAGGAGTCACCCTGCAATCCTGGATACTTGGGAGTCCTTGGGTGGCATTTTGCTAGCCAACAGTGTGAGGCCCAAGTCCACCCACAGATAAGAGTAAAATAACCCACCTAGAGATCTACTTGCAAACCAGAATGAGCTACTGAAAAATCCATGGAGCAAAGTTCAACTGACACCAGGAGGGAAGCCAAGAGTCCCTATATGACAGTGACCGGTACTGGGAACTACACTGCGCTGTGTATGTGGACATGACACCATGAGAAAAGTAAAATTAAAAGATCGAAATGACTAGCTGCCACATTATTTGCAATCCTATTATTGTGTGTTAAGTGCCATCGAGTCGTAGACAACTCATAGCGACCCTATGAGTGCAAGACCTGAACACTTGTATAACTTCCTTTCTCCAAGTTCACAGAGTTTCCAAAGGCAACCCATTTCGGAAGTGGATGCCACTCCTGCTTCCAAGCTTCTTTTAATTGGGAAGCTCCACCAAACACTGCCCACCATGGGTAACCATTATCGCATTTGACAGTGCCACAGTGCTTAACATCACAGCAACCATGAATTACCTCTGTACAGCAAATGGACAGGCAAGTGCTATACCACTTGAAATACCAATTTATGTATCCATTGGTCTAATATAATCCTAGTTTTAGGCAACTACCAGAATTGGAGAGTCACAATATATCCAATACAACCTTTAGACTTGAGTAGTTATTTTTGTCAATATTATCTTGGTTGCTGTTAGGAAACAAGTAGTTTCAAGACACTAAATGTGCTCTTCTGAGGTGAAAGAATAGTGCTTTATTCATGCTCTTCAAGTTAAACTACTTTCAGAAGATCATAGTTTCTACTAAGATCTCTGATCCACCAATGTGTGAAATCCGGCATGTGGGACCACTCCTGAAGGGTTTCATTAAGCACAGTCCAACAAAGTGGTAGGATGTTAGAACTGCAAATAAAAAGTGGTATCGTCGACTCAAAAGAGCCTGTCAGGAGGCTCCTGGATCACCAACAAGTTACAGCTATGAGACTGGCGTCTAGAAGGGAATGGCCAGTGCATCCCTCGGATTCAGGACCTGGAAAATAACCCTTACAATTGCAACCCCAGAGGTACGCGGTTCAAATCTACCAGATACTCTGCTGGACAAAGAGGGGCAATCTCCTCCTGTACCAGTCAGATCTGATTTGACAGTATACACAATAAACTAAATTTTTTTTTTAAAAAAGCTTAAAAATAACATGGTCCAACAGGCCCATCTCAGTGAAGATTGCCTTTCGAAGTGGGCCTTTCAAAGAGTTTGGTTTTGCAGTTCACAAGGGTAAGGGAAAAAAATCCCCACCTTAAAATAGTGGCCACATATTCTTTTTGACTAGTACAGTCCATCTTATCTGAGATTTGTGTTCAGTTCTGCACAATTTTAAGCCACCAGTGGGTCCAGGTTGTATCTGAAAATTTAAAACATTCCCCCACTCCTAGCAAGAGATTCTAGCTATTTAGAATCATGCTAACAAAGAGAGCAAGTGGTCCCTGCGTTCTAACAAGCTAGCCAAGAGCCACGTGATACTGCACGTACAGATTCTTTTCCTCAGACAGCAGACTCTCAAGAATATGCTTTTAAGCGGACACTGACTTTCCAAGACTTCTGAAACCAACATAACCCAGACAAACCCAGACAAGATCAAGATGAGCTCCTGCATCTGAGCTTCCTCAGCTGACCCTCCAGTGAGCTTTTTTTTTTAAAAATATAAATATTGTTTTATTTTTGCGGTGCAAACTTTCACCTAAAACACAAGGAAGCAAATGGCTTTGCTTTGGTCAAAAACGAAAACATTTTAAAAGTCAATACTTCAAGAAAAACAAAGGCAGTAACTCTCCAACCTAGTCCAAATCTTGATGATATCCAAAGTAATGGGGTCAGTGTGGAATTATGTTCAATAGGGTATTTGTTTTGTTTTGAATTTTCTTGTTGAGAATACATACAGCAAAACACACACCAGTTCAAGTTTCTACAACAACTCAGCCACACTGGTTTATTCTCGAGTTGCATAACCAAGCTAACCCTCCCTTTCTGAGTCATTCCTCTCATATAAACAAACTCATCCAGTGAGCTTTTGGGAGGCTGCAAAGTCACCGAAGACGGTCCATCTCTCTCCTGCAGGGTCACTGGTGGACCCCAACTGCTAAACGTGTCACGTTTACTACACCTCCCTATGGACCAGGCTCTCAGTGAGTGCCCCGAGTCCAAAGTTTTGTTTCATATTGAGCTTTCTGGTTTCCTATTGAATGCTTCCCTCATCCTCTGACTCATCTCACCAAAGCACCAGAGGCAGCAAATGAGAGAACTAGCTCAAGACCACAGAGGAAAAGGGGAATGTCAAAGACACTCGGATAATAAAGTCTTACGTTTGTGCCCTCTGAACCAACCGTGGAAGAAACTCAAAGCCAAGAAGGAACGTACTTGATTTTCTGCAAGTAGGTTTCTGGCAACTCCAGGGTGTCACACAGCGTCTTGATGCCACTATGCCCCAGGGAGTTATAGCCCAGGTCCAGATCAGAGAGGCTCCTGTTCTGTGCGAGCACAGACGCCAGTTCCATGCAGCAGAAAGGCGAGAGATTGCAGCCCCACAACCTAATGAGGAAACAAAGTACAATTCGTTAGTGCACGCAGCGTGTGCCATCACCCTGTGTACGCCGGGCACACACGTGGATGCTGGGAGTCCAGCAACGAGCTTTTCTGCCTTCACACGCAGCCTAACAACTAGAAACGGTGATGGAGGGAGCGTGTCAGGTCTAAGTGAGGGATGTAGGAGGTAACAAGCTCGAGTATCAGAGTCTTCTAGAAATGCAAGTCAAGGAAGAGTAAGGAAGTGGAGAGTGGAAAGGCACAAAAGGACCAAAGTGCTTTCCCTGCCGCTCTGCAGCCCATGCAGGTCTCCTGGAAACAGGACTTTGACACCAGAGCTGTCTGGGACATTGGCGAGGTCACCTTCGCTGGCTGTGAATGCGGTCTCGGAACCAGAGGTAGACACACAGTGTGTATAATGGTTCGTGTTGATGCCTGAGCGGAAACGGAATTCAATTTAGGCCAGAAGTGTGTTTCTGTTTATGAAGAGAGAAAAAAAAATACACTGACTCCTGGTGGCAAGCTTAACCAAACCAGCTTAATCCGGGCAAAGGCAGCTGTGTGCCCATGGGCACAGTGGCACGGTTCGGGCCAAATTCAGAGCCACCTTCCTGCTCAGCCCGCTGGACAGAGAATATGTAATGCTGGAGCCTTCGGGGACTTTCAACATCCTGAAATGCAAATGAATAAAATCTTGCGAGTTTTAACAGAACAAGACAAAAACGAAACTAGGCAAAGATGTAGGTTAAGGGTTCTCTGGGCAGAGAAACTGTACAGAGCCTTTATTAGATAGGAGAATATTAGAATATCAAGAGTCAGGGAGGCTCACAGAAGTCAAGAAGGCAGACCAGAGGTCTTTCCACCCAAATTAGATGTCATTGCTGTCTCTTCCGTATCATGGGGACTCTGTGTCCGAACAGAGCTGCACAGACTGTCCGAGGGCTGAATTTTACACGTGCGTCACTAGGTCTTTAGTCAGGAAATTCTGACCATCTACTCAGCACTGCAGTAACACACATGCCTCTGCGAACGGCAGTGCATGTTCTGCACATGGACACTGGCCAGGAATTGAACCCCATTCCCTTCTGTGGGTGACCAGTGACACACACACACACGCCCCCCCCCACCCCGCGCCACATTTCCAACACAGTTCAAGGCAGCTTTACCAGAGCACTTTGAGCTTGCACGCCGGGTTCTTCAAGGCCTCGCACAGAGCACTGATACCATAAATGCCAATGCTGTTCATCCCCAGGTCCACGTGGGTGAGGGTCTGTTTCAGGGGCAGCAGCCTGGCGATGTGCTGACAGCCCTTCTCGGTTATCCCGCTCTCCCACAGCCTGCAAGGCAACCACACGGCAGAGAACTCGTTTGGTGTCGTGGCCCCATACCATCACCTCCTACCCCGGGCCAAAGCCATACAACCTGCCATCCCTCTGAATCAAATCACGGTAGAAACGCTAAGGCAAATAGAATCATACTTGAATTTCAACGCAGTGCAGTCTGGCAGTTTCAAGAAAACCTTGGAAATGGGGAGACTTGGAAATAGGTTTATGTATGGGATGGTGTAATACGCAGATGAAACAAAAACACAAAACAAAACTCAAACCAATTCTCAAGCAGATGCCAGTTGATGACAATCTCATCAGTTTCTGGTGGGGACAGACAACACAGGCCTTCCCTGGAAGGAAGCCTGCCTTCCACAAAGGTGGGGATAGGATTGAGTTACGTGCTTTGATTCAGCAAGGGTACAAACGTCCTGTAGAGAGAATGGCCCCCTGCAAAGCGCCCTTTGCTCCTGGAATCTGATCTCGGTACTTCATGTAGCAGGACGCATGTCGAAGGCGTGTCCAAGGCTCTTGATACGGGGAAGTTGTTGGATTGTTTGTGTGACTGCAGGGGCATTTTACCAGGAGGGGCGAGTCCCCAAGGGAAGAAAGCTTTTAAGAGCCGAGGGTCCACCAGGGAGAGGGCGATTCTCAACCTGATGACCTGTGTGATGCCAACACGGGGCTTTGGCACAGCAGAGGGTGAGGGTCACACTGAGTCAGACAAGGTCCTGTGCTGTCGTGAACAAGGTCACTAGGAGGTGCGGCCCACCTGATGGTACCTGACAGGTGTCATCATGGAAGCCTTCAAGGAGGTAGAATTACAATGAGGAAAAGCTACGGATGCAGAGTTGAGAGAGACAGGGATTGTTGATTGCCCTCAAGTCGAGCATGACTCATACCAACCCTATGAACAAATGCTTGAAACCCTTCTACAACTACAGGGCTAGAGCAATTTCAAAATGGGATACCACGAACCTCCAGAGTGAAAAGGACCCCAGAGCCAAGGCACCCTCGAGCTGCTGAGAAGCCAGATTCCTTATTCAACGGGGGCTGCTGTGAGCCCCAGTCATCTCCACAGATCCTACCAATGACATGCTGCTGGAGACCACGCCACTGACAGGTCTCGGCAGAGCTTCCCAACCCAGCCTGACCAGGGAAGGAAATCCTGGTGATCTACCCCTGGAAATTAGCCAGTGACACTCCCTAGCAGCTCTGCCGCAGACGCGGCCCTCCCTGCACGCTGGTTTTGGTTCCACGAGCCCATGGGGGGGTTGTGGATGGTAAGAGAGGATGTATACAGACATGCCAGACACATGAACCGAAGCAACCAGCGGGGAGACTCACACCAAAGCCACCAGTTTGCAGTTGGGGTTAGCTATGCCTTCGCACAGCAGCTTCACGCCGTCGTCCATAATCTTCTGTTTTGCCAGGCACAGGTGGGTCAGCTTCTGGTTGGCAGCCAAAGCGGAGGCGAAGTCCTTGCAACAGATGTGCGTGAGCTGGCAGCTCTCCAGGCTGCGGGAGGTACGCGGTCAGAGGGTGGGAACCTGGGCAGGCCCTGACCCTGGCGGTTCCCGAGGGTCAGTCCTCGCCTGTCCCTTCTTGGAAACCCCTGTCTATCCCCCCATTAGTGACCCACACCAGAAAGAGGAGGAAAAGGCAGGGTATCAAGTGTGGGCTCTGCACCCCACACCCACGCAGGAGACCAGAGGTCTTAAGTCGCCAACTTCTGTACGTGGTGCGCACTAAGCTCTTCTTTCCAACGGTCACCCCAGTCCACAGTGGCCCCAGATTGAAGGGGGAAGATGCGCCCCGTGACCAGGAGACTTACAACAGTTTGCTGACCGGACACGCCGGGTACTTGAGCACTTTGCACAAACGCTTGGCGCCCTCGTCGCGGACGGAGATGTTGGTGAGGTTTAGGCATCGGAGGGACTGGTTCACCTTCAAGGTGTTGAACAACTCACCCCACTGCTCGCTGGTGGCGGAGCAGGTGTCCATGCTGCAGGAGAAACGAGACTGCCACTGGGGGACCCCCCCCCACTCCCCCGAGTTCACCGGGGCAGAACACAAAGCTGTTGCATTCAAACTGCCCCTCTTCATATTATCAATTGCTAATTGACTGTCACATTAGCTATCAATCGCAGCCACCATCTTCAAGAGTTGGCCAACTCTTAGGCGAGCTCTGGTGGCCTAGTGGCAGGAAACTGCACTGCAATCCCAGAGGTGCGTGGTTCAAATCCACCAGATGCTCTGCTGAAGGAGGAACAATCGCCTCCTGTACAAGTCAGATCCAATTTGATGGTACACACATAAAAAAAAAAAAAGTTGGCCAACACTGGTGCCTAGTGGTTAAGAATCTGAGCTGCATTCCTGAAGGTAGATGGTTCGAATCCACCAGCTGCTCTGTGGGAGAAGGATGGGCCATCTCCTCCTGTGCGATTAACAGCCTCTGAAAACCTACCAAAGGGTCAGCTATGGGTTGGTTCTGACCCAACCACACAACAGTCCATCCTACTTTCAGGGAGGGGACAGTCCTGCAGATTCTGACCCCTGGTGACACCCCCCCCCCGTGTGCTCCGCAGAGGTCACCAGGTCATGTGACTGTTAGGAGTTAGATCACCAAGATTTCCCTCCAGGGAACCCCTGGGTGGATCCTAACTTTCTTCCAGTTAGCAGCCAAGCTCACGACCGTCTGCGCCCTCCAAAGAGGCCAAACGAGACAAAGAAAGCCAGTTAACGACTCGACTAAATCACCAGCAGCAGTGGGTTACGGGCTGCCCTGCTCCCTGAACCGTCACTGGTTCGAATCCACCAGCCACGTCATGAGGGGAACACGGGGACTCCCCTCCTGTGAGGACTGGCAGCCTGGGAAACGCAGCCGATCCATGTCCAGGAGTCAGAACGGACGTGGTGGGTTCGGACCCCCTCCCACATCTCCCCCAACCCCACGCAGGGAGAAGTGTCATGAACCAGCGCTGCTTGATGTCCTTCTCAGACAGGAGCACGTACTTCAGGCACTGCAGGTGACAGGCTGGGTGCTTCAGAATGTCACAGATCCCATACATGTTTCCTTGGCCCTGGTGACCCAGCAGGCACAGCTCCACCAGGGACTCTTTTCCAGGGAGGGTGAGGCAGAAGACCCAGTACGCTTCCGACGGCAAGATGTTGTTGAGGCTAGGAGACAACCAAAACAACAAACAGAACACCAAAACCCAAGCAAACCTCTGAGACGTCTTGAGTTCCTGCATTATCTCTAGATAGAAGCCCAGGTCTGTGATACTTTAGAAGTCATTCGATGACGGGAGGCTGGGCCCTACCCCCAAACAAACGGTGTTCCCCAAAGAAGAGGAGAAGCACAGAAAAGCATCCAATTTCCTAACAAGGCTTTGCAAAGGGGAAACCGACAGAAGCAGCTCCCTTTCAAACACACTTTTTAATGTTTTTGCAAAAAATGCTTTGTCCTCCAAATGCTATATGGTGCCACTGTTGTAGAATGAGGCTGATACGGGGTGGGGGTAAGACTGAGAAAAACTGGATGAAATATGTTTACAGCACTGAAGTCTGTGGGGGAGAGAATAGTTTAAAAGTATTATATTATAGGGCATTATGTTTATCGTAAGAGTACGGAATGAGGGTTGCAGAGCGAATTATATGGGGTTGGGGGAAGTGTGGGGAGGGGGACTGTGTACCAATGAAGGACTTTTTCTTTTGCTTTTCAAAGAGAGGAGCTAAGGGGGGGGAGGGGCAGGGAGAAGGGTGCAACAATGAATGAATGCAATTCCAAAATCTCTAGATGTTCATTGAAATGAAAAATAAGTCACAGTCCCTGCTCTCCAACTGCTTAACAGCTGGCTTGCCAACCAGGATTAGGATTCAGGCCATTGCTTAGATGACCAGGCCTTTCTTCCTAGTCCATTCCAGATTGGAAGCTCTGCAGACCCCTACTTAACGTGAGGGTAATTCCCAGGGTCCCACGGATGGGTGGCGGCTTGGCTTAAAGCAAGTGGGCAGAGAAGGAAGCCTGGGAGTCCTGGGTTCTACCACTGATTCCTCAACGCCTTTTGTCTACGTGGTGTCCCAGCCCAGCACTGTCCATCTTTTCTACTCTGGTGGTTCTCAGAGGCTAGAGACCCCTTAGGGACAATCAGAGAGCGACAGAGTCTCCCCTGTCATAGCCATGGAGGGCTACGTGTGCTGTTAGCATCTAGTGACCGAGGTCAACTCAGGAGAGGCAACGGAGTGTTATGCTGCTTGAACTACCTCAGTCTTGTAAGGACAAATACTGCCTAAAGCCATAATGGCGAAAATAAACGGATAAATACGTGTATGGTAACTCAAGGCAAGGGGAAGGAGGAGCAGAGGGGCGAGGATGTGTAGCAGTGAAACCATGGGGTTTGCACGGAGGCAGAGGGGGAAGAAAATTGGCAAAGTCAGGGCAAAAAGACAGGGTAATGAGGAACAAGTTCCAATGGTGATTTTAAAAAACCATGCCCGAGAATGATTGACACATGCGAATGAAGACCAGTATAACACACAATGTATGTAAACGAAGCAAAATTAAAACCCAACCAACAAAACAAGCTGCCTCCAAGTAGCGTACACCATGCCCCAGTAAGGAGACATCCAGCCCAAACAAGCTGGAAACCCTGGTTAACACAGCCCTGCTGGGTGCCATCGAGTCACAGGCAACCCAGAGCTGACCCTCTGGGGGTTTTCAGAAGCAGTCAATCTCATGGGCGATTGTCCATCCTTCTCCCTCAGAGCATCCGGTGGATTTGAACCATGTGCCTTGGGGAATGCAGTGCCGTTCCTTGCCACGAGGCCAGAGCTCCCCGACAACTGTTTATTATGTGCCACTGAGTAAAACCAGGACTCGTTACCTATGCTATGAACAATAGCTCGGAACCCTGCCCTGTCCTGAGCCAGTCTCACTGTCTGACACACCAACCTTATTACCCCGTTACTGTGTTCATCCATCTCAATTTAGGGTCTTCTCTCCTGCATCGATGCCTTCGCCCTTCCAAGCATGACGTCCCTCAAGGACGAGTCCCTCCTGGAGACATGCCCCAAGTATGTGAGACAGTTTCACAATTCTTGCCACCAAGGAGCAACCTAGTTGGCACATCTCGTCCCGTACAATTTACAGCCTCTGCAAACCCCTAAGAGGGCCAGTTATGAGTGGATTCCAACTTGATGGACAGGAGAGTTTAGGAATACAACCCTGTACGTGTCACTGATTGGATCAAAACTTTCCCAAGAGACAGGCCCCCCAAGAGTTTAGTCCTCAGTGACCTAGAACAGATCACATCGCTTTTCAACACCTTTTAACCAAAGGCCTCCAAAGATGACCACCACTAGGGAGGTGGGTGCTCCTCGACACATGAGCCAATCAAAAAGGGACCCAAGTGCCCTCACAGCTCAGAAGGCTGGATGGACGTCCAAGGACGGACGGAAGCAGTCGGCACAGAAACGTGTCAATGAGGATGCTCTGTAGTGTGAGATTTGCACCGTCAACCTGCATGAACTGCTGAAAGAGAAGATTTCTTAATAGAAAAGTTCCTAATAGCAAAGGGATGAAAACAACCCACACAATGGAATAGTACGTAGCACTGAAAAAGAAGGAACTCTATGAAGTACCTCTATCACAAAAGGACAAATACTTCATACTGCCTCTGTGATAAAAGAATTACATCAGGGTTAGGATAGACTGAGAAAAGAGGGGGTAAGTAACATACACTGCATGGCAACATGAGGCAAAGAACTGCTTAAAAGGAATATATGATTAGGTATTATTTGCATGACAACAGTGCAGAATAACAGCACAGTAAAGTGGACTGAGGTCGGGAATTTTACAACAGTGAAATTTTTTTTTTAAGAGAAAAGTGAACTGAGGGGGGCAGGGAGGGCAATGTGCAACAATGCAGGAAAATTCAAGTTCTCTAAACTTCCATTAAAATCTCAAAAAACCACTCCCTCGATTTCTCCCAGATCAGACTAAAAAGCTCATCCTTGTCCTCCTATGGTGCCCCATGGCTGTCAGAACTACAGTGTCACATGCCATCAAGATGACGGAGTCTCCCAGCAGACAGACTCAAGCCCGAGATCACCTCTGGGACCGGCATTCGAACCCCGGCCTGTCAGGAAACCCGACTCCAGCCTGCAGGCCAGGGCTCCGGGATGCTACTTACACGACTTTGCGGAGCTGACAGCTGGAGCCCGAGGCGATCTGTCTCCCCAATATTTTCGCGGAGGTTTTACTGATGTAGCTTGGCTGCATTTCCAGAAGCTCCAGTTTCTTGTTTGACTCAAATAAAGAGCAAAGTTCCCTCCAGAAAGACAGGGCACGCTTGTCCAGCCTGTGCCTGGATGGGAAGAGACGGGGAGAGAGTTGTGGTTGAGTGTGCGGCGAGTGTCTCTGGAGACAGAATATTGGTACTTGACAACTATGCAAAATCTGCTCAGGACTGTTGTGGCTTCAGTCCCTGATAACCAGGTCGGAGAACCCCTATGAGTCAGCGGACCTCGGACCACAAGGGAGTCCAGACACTGGCCTTTGATCACAAGCGACCTTCTCCCACAGAATCCACCTCTACAGACTCCAATCCTCAAACCTCAATGACCGGCCACACGCATCACCCATCTGCACCGACCAGAGACCTCCAGCAAACAGATTCAACTCAAAGGAGGGGGCTGAGGGAAAGGAAGATCGTCACCGAGGTGGCTTGCCAGTGCCAACAGCAATGGGCTCGGGTGTGGTGGACGTGAAGCACTGGACTGGACAGGGCTGGGTTCAGTTCACAGGCGTGACAGCATGGACCAAGTATCACCAAGTACACAAAGAGCCTTGTGGGCCCAAGTGATTCACGCCAAGCCTTCTGACTCCACACATTACCACCATCAAACAGACTGCCACTTGGCTGGACAAAGAAACCCTGCAGGTCACTCCCAGCCTTTCCCCCCTGGAGTCCCGGGGAGCAGGCACTGACCCCACTCAACGAGTTAGGAACGGCATGGCTTGAAAGCCAAGCAAAAACCCTGCGTATCAATTCACACTGCACCACTGTTTGAGTCAAGTAGAAGCCATCTACATACCCAACATATGAAGACTCCTTCACACATAGTGAAACGGCCCTTTATAAAGAGACACCAAGTCCTGACACGTGATCCTTAACGGAAGCAGATCGCCGCATCTATGACCTGCTGGGCAGCTGGTGGGGTCAAACTACGGAACTGTTCAGTTAACGGCCCACCACTTAATGCACTGTCCCACCAGGGGTCCTAGGAAGGACAGCCCTCACAAGACGACTACCACTGAGTCAACGCTACTCTTCCAACTTTCAAGTGGGCTTCTGAGGCTGTAAATGTTCATGGCAGGACAGTCATCCGCCTGTGACAAGGCAACTGGTGGATTTGAACCTCTGACCATTGTGTTACAAACGATGATGCCAGAGATTCTTCAGGCAAGTACGCAGACAGGTAACCAGAGAGGAACATTCAGCAGCTGCTACCAGGGCTGTTAGAGACATCTGTGGTCTAGAAGCACTGAAGTCTGTTCACAGATCTCATCCATGTGGCGTATGGTATGGCCTACAGAACTGCCCAGAAAAGTTTGGCAAAAGACATAGGTCTAACAGATGAGATTCTGTTAGACCAACGTATCAGCAAGACAGAGGTGGCTGCTTCGTCTTCCTCAAAAGAAAAGAAATTTCAAAACAAGATCAAGTTCCCAAGCTTCCGTTCCTAACTCACTCCATGCTGCCAACACCTTGGACGTGAAGCAGGAAGTAAAGTCGAGAGGAACAGTGCCAAGTCCAAGGGCAAAGCAGGGAGGCCCGTGGGGGGACAGGGAAATGCTTGACCACCAGCCAGAACGTCAGTTGTTTGAAGCCACCTATATAGGTTCTGTTCTGTAAAGGCAGCCTGGAAAACCCCCCTGGAGATGCTTGGCTCAGCACACAGGGTGCAGAGGGCGCGAGTGGACATGTCCGCCCCCACAAAGTGAGCTCTGGTGGCAGCCTGGTGGAACAAAGCTGTGCTGCGTTCCCCAAGGCAGAGGGTTTGAATCCAGCAGCTCCCCCTGTGGAGAAGGACAGGCGATCTCTGATTGGAGTCGGTTGTGGCAAATATCACAAAGCAAGCAACAGTCAGGATTCAGGGTGGTGTTCAACACCCTTCTGTCACTGTAGCTCTCACCTTCCGTCAGCGGAGTTACCCTGCATGATCTGGCCTTGACAGGCAGCCAGGAGTGGAGCGATTCCTCTGGCCCCTGGTCCAAAACTCGACACAGAGGAAGGCCAAGCATGACCCGGAGGGTTCTGAGACACGCTGAACCCACAGATGCTGGAGGACGCAAGGACCTACCTCGAGAGCTGGCCGTAAAGCCTTCCCCAGAACCTGCACCCTGGATTTGAACTTTCAGCCTGCCAAGTGAAGAACTGGCTGAAATCCTGACAGCAGCACACAGTAAAGGCAGTCGGCAGGAGTTGGCAGTTCCAGATGGCTACTGCCAAAACTGTGCAGTTCTGACTTCTTACAAAATGCAGTCAGTGAAATCGAGAAGACAAAAAAAAAGCTGAGTCCTTACCTCTTGTCCTGAGCTTTCGAGGACTCGTCATTCTCCAGAAACAGGCCCCTTTCGACCTGCAGCGAGATCCGCTCCAAGTTCTCACAGTGCTTCAGGCTGTAGGCCGCGTGGAGGAGGTCCGTTTCGCTTTTGATGTGCACCACCGCCTCGTTGAAGCTGGCCATGGCCTTCTTGGCCAGCTCCTCCGCCTGGGCCTCGTACAGGCAGTACAGGATCTCTTTCATGGCCATTGTGGAGAAGGTGTGCTCCTCTTCAGAGTCCACCTGCCAGCCCAGGATGTCCTGCCTGACCTTCCGGGACAGCTGGCAGCCGAAGGCCACCTCCACGTCCTTGGTGTTCTTCTCGTTCAAGAGGCCAAACAGGAAGAAGACCACGGGGTTCAGGCTGGGGTTCCGCAGTCTCTCCTCCTTGCAGAACAGCTTGTGCAGCCCCCCGACGTCCCCGCTCAGCGTGTTGTCGCCTTGGTCGCCCTCCAGGAGGTACAGCAGGGCCGTGAGCAGCTCCTGAACGCTCAGGTGGACGAAGCTGTAACAGCGTTCATCGTGCTTGCCCTTCACAAGGATGCTCTTGGCCACGAAGGGGTCAAGGTCGGATTCCTGGAGCCTGAGCGCCTCCAGGTCATTGCCGTCGAACACAGCCATGTGGTTCCACACGCCCTTGGCGGCCAGCAAACACACGGCCTTCAGGGAGGCCTGGAGGGGCCAAGGGGGGCAGGCGTTCGCCGCCTCCTCCGTGAAGCTGCTGCACAGGTAGTACAAGTAGAGTGACGTGATGGTTTGCATGGTGGGCGCGGGGTCCTCGCCCTTGGCCAGCTGCCGCTCCAGGCACGTGCACACGATCCAGCAGACCATGGGCGCAATGCCCATGCTGAACAGGGCGGCGTTGGCCTGCATGCAGTCGAAGGCCTGCGCCGCGCGCTCCTCGTCCTGGAAGTACCTGCAGAAGTAGTCTCTGCGCTCGGCCTCCGTGAGGCCCTCCACCTCCAGCAGCAGCGGCTGCTCCAGCAGGAGCCGCAGCTCGCGCAGCGCCCTGGGGCGCGTGGTGATGAGCAGCGTGGCCTGCGGGAACAGCTTCCTCTTCATCAAACTGCTCAGCAGCACGGCCACGGGCTTGCGCTCCCGCCAGTCGCCGCAGATGTCGCGGATGAGCGCGCCCGGCGCGAAGCGCAGCTCGTCGTAGCCGTCGAGCACCAGCAGCAGGCTGCCCTGCGCCCGGCCCAGCAGCTCGGGCACGGCCGCCTCCAGCTCGGGGCACGTCTGCGCCAGCAGCTCGGCGCACGAGCACGGCTCCAGCCGGGCCAGCCGCTTGCACTCCAGGTAGAAGCTGTACTTGAAGGGCTTGGCCAGGTTGTCCTCCGCCCAGTCGAGCACCAGCTTCTTGGCCAGCGTGGTCTTGCCGCTGCCCGCCGGCCCGTACAGCACCACCGTGTGCGGGAAGGGCCCCGTGGGCAAGCGCGGGTTGCAGAAGGGGATCTGCATCTCGTACTTGTGATGCACCACGTTGAGGTTTTCCGAGAGGCCCGGGCAGAAGTGACTCTTCCAGATTTGCTGGTACTTCTTTTTCAGGATGGTCTTATATTTGTCTTCATGATCTTCAACGAAGGGGGGAGGCAGGGGACAGACAGAACGGAGAGGGTCAGGGGATGAGAGCTTTGCAAAACCAAGCTCAGGCCCACCCCCGAGAGGCACGGGGCTCACCTGGCCTGGTTTTCGCCCAACTCTCTTCCGCGTCTAGGCTCACGAGGTCTTCTTCCTCGATCTCCACCGACCCTGTTCAAGACAAAAGCTGGCATCACCAACTGTGCTGGCCAGACGTCGGCCCGGCTGGGCCAGGATTCCTGGTGTGAGCCCAACTGCAGTTCAGGGTGACCCTGCAATGATTCTCAAGTCCGCATCACCCACCGTCTGTCATGCTCAGGACTGATTTTATCTATCATGCTGGGGTTCTATACAGTCAGGATTTTGTTCATTCATGTGATTGTATAAAATGCACGTGAAAGAAACAATACGTAACATTATATACCAACAATAGTAGTAAAAAATATTCTTAAGTTTTAAAAGCCAAACAAAACCACTTACTAGGCTTCGTGTAAGGACTTGCCCTGTGAACTCAAGACACATGTGGGTTCAAATCCACCATCAGCAAGAGAAAGATGGGCTACCTCCTCCCGCACCATTTACAGCCTATGAAAACCTGCCAGAAGGTCACCTGTGAGTGGGTGCCACCCTGATGTTGTGTGCCAAATTAACCCCTTGACTTGAGCACTCTGCTTTTCTGAGAACTTTGTACTTTTCTTGCTCTGGTAAGAACTTTCTAAGCAGTCTGAAAAAGCAGCAGCTCGGACAGCTGTGAGCTTATGTCAGGCGAGCGGAAAAATGCTTGCACCCTGCAGAACACGGCACTGACGAGGTTATCTGTCCAACGGGTCTGCGTTCAGTCCATTCTCACAAACAGAAAAATTACAACACACTAGTTACTCATCTTTGCTCCTGGGGCAGACAAAGTCCTAAGAAAGCCAAGACACAGAGGATCCTAACAGCCCCAATTCACGACTGTCTATCAGACTGAGATACCAGACAAGAACCAAGAGAGATCTAGTACCGTCTACAGAAAGACACCAACATTCCAAGCAGTGTGGAGAAAAGTCTTGGAGAAAGAATAGGCAGAGCGCTCCTTGGAGGCAAGGATGATAAAGCTTTGTTTCACATACTTCAAGCAATTTGCTACGAGAGGCTATTCCTTGGAGAGGGGCATCAGCTTGGGAAAGTGGAGGGACAATGAAAGGGGAAGAACCCTCAACCAGACAGACACAGGGACTGCTGTTATAGTTGGAGTGTATCTGACATAAAGACAGCACAGGATAGAATAGCGTTCAGATCTGTTCACTGAGTCATGCTTGAAAGCACTTATGGGAAGGGAGCATAGTTCATGAGACAATCAGCAGAGTGTCAGAAAATGAGATTTGAAAGAGGGAGTTCCCAGGAGGCATGGAGAGCAGGGCACGGAAGGGCAGGCTTCAGTCTCAACATTCCAGGCTCTACACCAACCTGGCTCTTCTATCTCTTCCTCTTCTTCTATCTGTTCTTCCGTCTCCAGCTCTTTTTCTATCGTGGTCTCATTTTCATCTGAAGAGGAAAGAAAAAGGTGCATGACAGGCTTGTGAGAGTGGAGCTGCTCAACTCCAGCCAGCAGACAGTCCTTGATTCCTAGGACCTTCCATCAGCTTACAGACGCTGTGGGTCATAAGCAGAAGGGAAATCCCGGGTGTCTGAGACAGACACAGCTACTTTTTGGACTGAGCCAATTCTTTAAAAGCATGACCAGCTGTCAAACTCGACAGACGCCCAACTCACATGGACATTCTGCTGATCCCTACGCCACCTTCGGCGTTTTGTGTGCTGTTAAAAATCAGATTAAAAAGTCCATTCTGCAAATTACTACCTAACTTGGGAGGGACTGGAGAGCATTAAGCTGAGTGAACTAACTCTGTCCCATAAGGACAAATACTGTATCTAACAATGACTACTGTAAAATGAGTAGGAAGATGTAAGGGGGGAGGTTAGGTGGAGGGTTAATTGTAGGCTCGCACAATTTCATGAGGGGGGTGCCGAGCGAAATGGGAAGGATCTGGTGTGGAAAACAGGATTTGAATTTTTGTAAATAAACCAGTATAAAAAATGTCAGGTAGAACATATATGAATGATTGTAGGAAATAGAATGTAAATGAAAGCTTGTATAAAACAATGCATATGAAACAGACTATCCAAGTATATGAGAAATCAATAAAGATATTAAAGACTCACAGCGACCCTATGTACAACTACCCGAAACCCTGCTCTCTCCTGAGCCAATTTTTTAAATTATTATTAAATTTTATTAGTTTTAATGAACATTTACAGAGATTTTGGGTTCTCATTCATTCATTGTTGCACTGTTTTCTCTACCCTCCTCTCCAGTTCGTTCTTCTCGCCCCACCAATGTCTGTTTTAATTGTCCAATTGCCAGTGCTTGTCAAAGCCAGTTCTGATTAATCTCCTTTGTCAGTATGTCCTTTGCCATTCCCTATCACTCCTCCCCGAGAGAGACTTCACCCCTGAGCTAATCTTATTGTCTGACACACCCATCTCCATAATCCCAGTGAACGAGTGAGTCAATCCAACTCACTGAGGGCCTTCCTCTCCTGCGCTGTGTCCCTCCACCCTCTGAAGCATGACCTTTCTCTCCAAGGACTGGGCCCTCCTTTCAACATGCCCAAAGTATGTCAGACAAAGCTTCATATTCCTTACCTCCAAGGAGCAACCTGGCTTCACCCTCTCCAGGACAAACCTGCTCATTTTTTTTAGTCTATGGTATATTCATTACTCTTCTCCAGCGACAGCTCAAAGGCATCAACTCTCCTATCCTCCCTAATCATTGTTCAGCTCGCTGATGCATAACAAGTGATGGCAAGGACCACGGCCTGAATCAGGCACGCCTTAGTCTCCAACCTCGTAAAAAGGTCAAGTAAATCCCCATTTTTACGTCTGGGGTTATTCATTCACTCTGGGTAACTGAGTCTTTGAATGGGTCAAAGTACACGGACGGTGTATGCAGACTAAAAAGGCTGCAGAAACAACGGGAAGAGACGCCCAGTTAGATCCCGCCGCAGCAGGAGCTCCCAGGGAGCTTCCCAGAGTCAACGCGCCCCCCTCCCACTTTGTGCCAGCATCCTGGACCCAGGCTTGGGGAGGGGGCTATGAAAAGGACAGGGCCACCCAGGTGTGGAATTGTTAGAGCACTAGATCCTTTGGTCATTTTCAGAGCATCAATGGGCATGTTTTTCTGCCTACAGGGAGCTCCGGTGGCCTAGTGGTAAGAAGCTGTGCTGCCAATCTGAAGGCACGAGGTTCAAATCCACTAGCTGCGTTATAAAAGGAAGAAGGGCAGTTTCCTCTTGTGAACTTTACTGCCTCTAAAAACTCCTTGGCGGGTCATCTGTGGGTCCTCACCAGCCACCTCTGTGTGCACTTGAACCATCAGAGTTCTGGTTAACACGCATGTCAACGGCACCTTTTAATGCAATCCAGCTGACCCCCACGCAAAGGACAGGCGAACTGTATCTTCCCTGCACATGCACGGATTTACCGATTTCTAGTATAAGCACTAAACATGTGGTATGAATTCACCTGCAGCTCCAGAGAAGACAGGTAATATTCTCTCCCTTGATTAAATTACCTCCAGACTCCCCTGGAGGGAAAGCTGCAAGCTGGTTCCGACTTGACAGTACACAATTACAAATGCCAGGGAGCTCTCTGCTGGCCCAGAGGTAAGGAGCTGTGCCGTCAACCCAGAACCAAGTGGTTCAAATCCCCCCTGCTCGGTGAGAAGACAAGACTCTGAAAAACCGCTGGAGGGTCAGCTGAGAGTTGGCGCCTATGTGACGGCAAAGAGGTGTAAAGACATTTTCTCATTTTAGCTTTAAGTGGCAAGAAGCTGTGCTGCAATCCTGAAGGCACATGGTTCGAGGCCAGCAGTGCCCTGCAGGAGAAGGATAGGCAGTCTCCTCCCGTGTGATTAACTGCCTCTGAAAACCCCCCCAGAGGGTCCACTAGGGGTCGGTTCTAACTCCAGCGTACACACCACCACCTGCTGGCCCACAGTTCCTCCTTCAAACTAGAAAGGGGTTCTTGTATTTCACGCCACTGAAGCAAGTCAGAATTCCCCCATCTCAAGATAAGGCTTATAAATGAGGTAACTTACCGTCTGACCCTATTTCTACGAAGAGTTTCATCGACATTTCTGTAAAAGAGAAAGGAGAGGGTGGGTGAAATCTTTTAGATGCAAGTAATTATAGGTTTCAGAATTTCATTTCATTTAGCTATCTTCAAATTTGTAATCTGCAGAGGTGAGAGGAGTTAAAACCTCACCGGTCTATGAAAGGCAAGGATTCCAATTGGCTTAGAGGGCTAAGTGCTGAGACACTAACTGCAGGATTGTGAGTTTGAACCCACCAGTTGTTCCGAGGGAAACAGATGAGGCAGTTTGTTTTCACTAAGACTGACCGCCCTGGGGACCCCAAGAGTCAGTCCCATTGCTCAGAGGGCAGTGAACAGGGACACACCTGACAGCAGTGAGTTTAACCCGTCAAGACAGACTGGAAGTCACAACAGAGGAGACACACAACTGGGACATTTGTTAAAAAGACAAAACTCAAAACGACACACAGTATCTGACTGGTGCGCCATCAATATATGTATACATGGAAATAAAAAATACAAATATAAATATTATCAATATAAAAATCTATTTCAAAATCTGATGGAATTTTAGACCGGAGAAACGGAATTTAAGTATATATATAGAAATAAAATACATAATTACACAATTGTTATAATATATACTATGTAATATGTATCATGTAACACACATTTTGTTATGTGCCATCGAGTCGCTTGCATCTCATAGCGACCCCATGTACAACAGCCCTAAACTCCGCTCTGTCCTGTGCCAATCGCACTGTCTCTGACACTCCCATGCCAATTATCGCAGTCACTGAATCAGGCCACCTCATAGAGGGCCTTCCTCTCCTGCGCTGTCCCTCCACCCTCCCAAGCATGATGTCCTTCTCCAAGGACCGGTCTCTCCTCACAACATGTCCAAAGTATGTTAGACGGAGCCTCAGAATCCTTGCCTCCAAGGAGCCACCCTGTTTAACCCTTTCCAGGATGAATCTGTTTTCCTAGCAGTCCAGCGTACAACATGTACAACACACATTTAGGTAACATAATACATAATATATATTGTATTTTCTATATATATATATATACACACATTGGCCTCTTGACTACTATGTTTGTAGATGTAATTGTCAACAGGGCTCTGCCTTAGCTTAATGAGATCACACGACGCCCCTCCAGAGACGTAAATCCTAACCCTCTGATGAGAGGAGATTCCAGTTTGAAGATGGGTTTGCTATGTTAGCAGTACCATATGCTGTGAGTCAGAGCTCAGAGCTGACCCTCCTGGGGGTTTTCAGAGGGTGTCAACCGTGTGGGAGAAGACTGCCAACCTTTCCCCTGCGAAGCTGGTGGTGGCTTTGAGCGAGAAGGTGTGACCAGGACACCCAAGGTCCCTCACTGGGGGGAATGGAGCTGGTCTGCTATTGCCACGAGTCCATGCTCAAGGGCACAGTGGAAGTCCTTCCTGCATTCATTCGTTTGTCTGTCGCCGTCTGGTCGGAACCGACACATAGCTGACCTGTCAGTGGGTCTTCAGAGGTGACAAGCCACACGGGAAGAGACTCTGTCTCATGGATCTGCTCGTGGATTTGAACCGTATGCCTGTGGATTGGCAGCCCCACTCCTTTCTACAAGGCTACCGGAGCTCTCTTGTTGACAGAGTAAGGATTAGTTTATCAGTGAAGGCACAAACCACATTGTCAGAAGCACAGACCTCAAGGTGCACTAGCTGTGTTCCTAGTGCCCAGCAGGCCCGTGCTCAGGTGGCCAGCCCACGAGGCAGCACTGTCCTGGGCTATGTCTCTCCATCTGGGACATGTGTGAGCCTTGTCTAGAAATGCGGGGTTCCCAGGAAGGGCAGTATCTGACTTCATCGTCCACTAACCTCAAGATTTAACTGTCTGACCCGTCCAGGGATGCTGTGAGCTACCACTGGCAACCGCTCCCCTGAAAACGGACTGGGAACACCCTGTGAGCTTCCTCCTCGAACAGGATCCCTGTGGCCCACCTGACAGCAAGATTTCAAGAACTCACACGACCAGAAGCAATCCCAGACCCCATAGCGGAGCCAGGATCTCGGAGGACATTCATGCAGTAGAAGCTCCCGGAAGATCGCAGAGCACAGCCCAGGCTGCCAAGGAAGTACCCTAACACGGATTCTCCACTGGGGCAAACTCTGAGTCCTACAGAACGTGGCAATGGGGAGAATCTTTTTGGTTACCACAATCTAGCAAGGGGTTGTTCTTATGTGCCATCGAGTCACTTGCGACTCATAGCGACCCTTTGTACAAGAGCTCTATACGCTCTTCTATCCTGTGCCAACCTAGCCATCTCAAACGCACTTATTCCCACCGCCCCAGTCACAGAATCAATCCATCTCACCAAAGGTCTTCCTCTCCTTCGCTGGCCCTCCACTCTGCCAAACATGACGTCCCTTTCCAAGGACCAGTCCCTCCTTGCAACATGCCCAAAATATGTCCGACGAAGCTTCAGAATCCTTGACTCCAGGGAACACTCTGGCTTCACCCTCTTCAAGACAAACCTGTTTGTTCTCCCAGCATTCCATGGTATATTCAACACTCTTCTCCAGCACCACAGCTCAAAGGCATCAATCCTCTTTCTATCAGCCCTATTCACTGTCCAACTCTCTGATGCATAGTACGTAACTGTGAAGACTATAGCCCGGATCAGGCGCACCTTAGTCTCCAGCCTGACATTGTTACTCTTCAGTACTCTTGAGAGGTCCCTCACAGCTGACTTTCCCAATGCAATTCGTCTCCTGATTTCCTGGCTGCTGTTACCAAGAGTGTTGACTGTAGAGGCAAGTAAATTGAAACTGTTAACTATCTCAATCTCTTCACCATCCATGCTGATGCTGCCAATTGGCCCCGTGGTGAGAATCTTTGTTTTCTTGACATTTAGCTTTAGTCCATATAGGAGGCTGTAGTCCTTGACCTTCTGCAGCAAAGGGTGGGATGGGGTAATGGAACATGCATCTAGTGGGGACAAGTCAAGGGTGTTGATAAACACTCTGCAGAGCCAGACACACCCCCTCACCCACCCCTCAGTGAAGAGCCACCAAGCCCCTGACACGGCAGCTGTTGCTGACCTGGTTCTTGGGGAGCCCATGCATTCAAAGGACACCTGCCCCACTGCGTTTTCAAGACCTTTCAGAAGCAAATCGGGATCTTCTCCCACGGCTCCGCTAGGTGGCTCTGAGCTGTCTACCTTCGCGCTGTCGTTTTCTTAGCCATGTGCATTATCAAGGTTCAGTGCTACTGTAAAATCTATGTCAGAGAAGGTAGATCTGAATGTGCGCGCGCACACACACGTGTGTGTCCATGAGTGTTCAGACATACCAGTCCTTGCGGTTGTGTCTAACAGGCTGGTCTGCCAACCACAAGGTCAGAAGTTCAAACCCAGGAGCTGCTCTGCAGGACAACGATAGGTCACCTCTTTCTGGGAGTCGTTGGAATTCACAGGAGCACAGCAAGTGTGATGGGTTTTAGGTAGAGGTGGAAACATGGCAAGTAGAAACTGGACAGGGAGTTATGAAAGCCCAGCATTCGTATGGAGACCTCAGCTGACCTTAGCGAAGGTGGTGGAGATGATCTGAACTGAAGTGCAGACCTGAAGCTGGACTTCAAAACACCCCCAGCAGTAAAGGGGAAACTCGGACAAAAAATGTGAGGATTCTAGTCTGAAAACCCTCCAAAGCTTGAGGTCATCACGAGTTGGCATGGACTCAGGAGCAGCCACTAGCAGCAGCAGCATTTGTGGTATGGACAGGTAGCCCCGCCCGTAAGAAGAAAAAAAAAAAAAAATCAAACCTCAGCTTATGCTAAAGTGTAGCTACCTCTGCCCCTCCTCCTTCGGACCAAGTGCACTGCTCCCCCTCCTTCCCCCTCCTCCTGCCTGCATGGCTACCTTATCTTATAGAGGCAAAATGACATTCTTTGTAAAGGCATAAAAAACTTCCCTGAATTCCTGTACCTAAAGGTAACTACTCACCAATCAGACCCCAGCAAGTCTCCAGGCTACCCCCCTCCTGTGCAATGGTCAAACTGAATGCAAGCCATGATACCAGCTGCTCTAAATAGCCAACGATAGCTCAATTTGTTAGACAAAGAAGTAAAAAAGGTATAAAAGGAAAAGTTGGCTTTGTCCGGGGCTCTCACATGGATGCTGCCGTTTCAGTCCATGAGGGCCCTCGTTTGAACTTGGAATAAACTTTGTTAATTTGGCTAGTATCAGAGAGTTGGACAATGACCAAGGAGGACAGAAGGAGAATTGATGCCTTTGAGCTGTGGTGCTGGGGAAGAGTATTGAGAATACCATGGACTGCTAGGAAAACAGATTTGTCCTGTAAAGGGTTAAACCAGGTGGCTCCTTGGAGGCAAGG